CATCTGTGTGGTGATGCCCTGCAGCTGTCCCTGCTGCCCTTCACAGAGCAGCCCCACATCTGCCTCAAACCCTGGGGGCTCCCCGCCAGCCAGACCCCTGCGCAGGGGCGGAAGGGCTCCTCTGCATGTTCCCCATGATGCCCCTCGCCTGCCCACACCCCTAGAGACAGCTGCCTCCTGGCACCAAGGGGGTTAACATTTTCACTGCCACCCCCCAATGGGCTTTTACAAAGTCCCCGGAGCCCAGCCCAGCCTGCGACTGGAGCATCCACCCGGCTCCAGTTGCTGAGTCCAGGACCCTGGGGCAGTGAGCCAGGCATGAGAGGCGGGCCAGTGTCGGGGTGGGGTAGGTGAAGGGGACCGGTGGGTGAGAGGGTGGTGGAGGGAGAAAGGGGCCCCTGGGGCAAGAGGAGTGTGGGGATAGGTGTACGGGAGGGGAAGGGGACCCAGGGAGGAGACAAGAATTGGGGAGGGCAGGGGAAGGGAGCCCAGGGATGGGAGAAGTGGAGTTGGTGGGGGTAGGGGAGAAGAGGGTCGGTGGTGGGATGTAGGAAGGGAAGGGGACCCAGGTGGGAGAGCAGAGTTGGTGAGGGTGGGAGAAGTGGGGTTGGTGGGGGAGTGTAGAAGGGGAAGGGGGCTCAGGGTGGTGGGAGAGGTGGGGGGGGTGTAAGAGGGGAAGGGGACCCAGGGAGGAGAGGTGGGTCGGTGCAGGGAAGGAGGTGGCCCAGGCGGTGAGGTTGATCAGTGAGGGTGGGGAGAAGAGAGCCCTGGAGCGTGGAGGCCTCTGCTGACTCAGCCCCATAGTTGGGGAGCTGGGTGAGGGCGACCCCCACAGCAGCCCACTTCGTGGGCCAATGCCTGGTTCTTGCTTCTGCTCAGGGCTGGGCTCAGTGCCCCCGGGGCTAGGCTCATTGCAGAGCTGAGGGGATGGAGTCAGGATGGGGGGGGCACCCTGCCGCGGGGGTGAGGGTCTTCGCCCAGGCTCCTCCAGCTGCGCTAGGCCCTGGGGGTGGCCCCCGCAGGCCGTAGCGCTGGCCCTGGGTCAGCCCTGGTGGGTCGTCCCTGAACTGGGCGGTCGAGTCCGGGGGCTCGCGAGGCGCCACCCGTCACTGGGGCTCTCTGCAGGGAGGCAGCCGACCAGCACGGCCATGGAAGCGGCACAGCAGGGCGGCTACGAGATCCCGGCCCGCCTGCGAACGCTGCACAATCTGGTGATCCAGTACGCCTCGCAGGGGCGCTACGAGGTCGCTGTGCCACTCTGCAAACAGGCGCTGGAGGACCTGGAGAAGAGCTCTGGGCACGGCCACCCTGACGTGGCCACCATGCTCAACATCCTGGCGCTGGTGTACAGGTGAGGGCTGCGGCCGGCGGGGCGGCGCCTGCCCGTGGGTCTCCTCCCCCACGGGCTCCTGGCTGGTGCATGGTGTAGCCCCCTGGGGCTCCGAGACCCCCAGCCAGGCATATGGCAGAGCTGCCTCCAGCCCTGAAGGACGCTGGCAGCGCCAGGGGCAGAGAGAGGCGGGCCGAGGCCTGGGGCTTTGCCCCGCGTGGCTAGTGGCCTGTGGCCCGGGCTGGGAGGGGTTCCAGGCTCCCTGCCCTGGGCCTGGCGGGTCTCTGGGCAGGGGCCGGGGGTCCAGGTGAGGTGAGGGTGGGCCAAGCTCCCAGGTGACACCGCTGCTGTCTGCCCTGCTGCAGGGACCAGAACAAGTACAAGGAGGCCACGGACCTGCTGAATGATGCGCTGGACATCCGGGAGCAGGCCTTGGGTGTGGAGCACCCGGCGGTGAGTGCCAGAGGGGTGGGGTGGGGGGGGCTCCCTGGATCAGATATCCTGGGACAGTGGGTCCCCCAAAGGCTGCTGGAAAGGGGGAGGGGCCTCTCCCATCCCAGTGGCTCTTGGTCCCTTGGGTCCAGCAGGGTTTCCAAGCACAGGCCCTGAATCCTTCTCTGGAGACGAGTCCATCACCAGCCACTGCCCATAGCGTGCAGCGGGAGAGCCCCCCACCAGCCTGCCCCGCTCCCCACTGCTGGGGGGTGGGGTGGGGGCTAGAATAGCCAGGAGCTCCCCTCACAGCCAGTGTCTGCCCCACCCCCACAGTGCCCCCTAATGGGAGAGGCCAGGCTGGAGTAGCTGGGAGCCCCCAACATAGTGCCCCCTGCTGGGAGTGGGGGGGCTGGAGCGTCTGTGGGGGGAGACTTGTCTCCTTGCCAGTGCATCTGCGCCCTAATGCTGCCCCCTCCCCGCACAGGTAGCCGCCACCCTGAACAACCTGGCCGTGCTGTATGGCAAGCGGGGCAAGTACAAGGAAGCGGAGCCGCTGTGCAAGCGGGCGCTGGAGATCCGCGAGAAGGTAAGGCCGCGCTGGCGAGTGCTGCGACACACGGCCCCGGCCCCGGCCCTGACGCTCTCCCTCCCGTCCCGGGCAGGTCCTGGGCACCACGCACCCCGACGTGGCCAAGCAGCTCAACAACCTGGCCCTGCTGTGCCAGAACCAGGGCAAGTTCGAGGAGGTGGAGCGCTACTACGAGCGGGCGCTGCACATCTACCAGAGCCAGCTGGGCCCCCACGACCCCAACGTGGCCAAGACCAAGAACAACCTGGTGAGGGGGGAGGGTTGCTAGGTGTGGGGGCAGGGCCCACAATTGCTCCTGGGGGAGGGTCTGGGGTGCAGCTCTGGGGGGCTCCCTGGTGGCTGGCTGCAGGGCTGGGGGATTTGCCTTTCTGCAATTGCAGCATGTGTGGGTGGCACTGCACAGGAAGGGCTAAACTGCCCCTGGTCCCTGGCCTGGCCTTTGGGGGGCGGGGGGGGACGGGGGACAGGAATCCAGCCCAGGAACCAGGGGCCGCTGGCAGCAGCGCTGGGTGAATGAGAGCTGCCCCTGGTAACACTCCCCTTCCCACCAGGCCTCCTCCTACCTGAAGCAGGGCAAGTACCAGCAGGCCGAGGAGCTGTACAAGGAGATCCTCACCTCACATGACAAGGAGCTGGCAGCTGCCCGCCATGGTGAGGCCGCTTGGCTCCTCTGTGGGTGGGAGGCTGCCCAGGGACAGGGCTGAGCTGTGTGCGGGCAGGGGGGTCGGGGGACTCTTTCTCTGGGGCCGGTTTATTGCCAGGAGAGGGGGGCTTTGGGGGCAGGGTCTCAGTGCCGTTTCTCTTCATCACCTCTCTTGTCCAGGTGACCCCGCAGCAGGCCAGAGCAGTGCAGACCCTCTGAGCCAGGTAAGCACCAAGATCCGTGCAGGGTGGGGAGGGAGAGATCAGAGAGGGCTGCAGTGGGAGAGCCGAGCGTGCAGAGGCCAGGCCCAGGGAGTCAGTACAGCAGGGCTTGCATGGGGATGAGCTGGCCTGGGATCCAGGGGGGGCTGCAGCCCCTCCCTGCTGGGAGCTCTGCACACCCCACCACCTCTGTCTCCCCCAGGATGCCATGGGCCATGTGAACCGGAGCAGCTCCTTCTCCAAGCTGCGGGAGTCCATCCGGCGTGGCAGCGAGAAGCTTGTCTCCCGGCTGAAAGGCGAGAGCTTCCAGCCCATCGACCCCAACCCTGGGTAAGGGGCTCCTCCCCCCAGCTCCAGCAAGGGGCCCAGCGCTCTTCCACCAGGCCCCCACATCCTTGCTGGAGTCGCTGGTTCCCAGGGGCACAGCTGCACCTGGCAGTTGAAGTGCTCCTTGGCCCAAGGCAGCTGCCCCTGCTAGCCCACTGCTCTGTAGAGCTGCCCTGGCCTGTCACTAGTTACCGCACTCATTTGTGTGCTACCTGGGGGCGGGGGGGGGGCCTGGAGCAGAGCCCCCAGCTATGTCTAATCCATTCCAGGGGGTGACCCTGGCTTGGCAGAGTACAAATGCTTTCCTGGGAGCATGGGGGAGACCTGTCCAACCCCAGGTCTGTTCTGCCTGGGGTTACCCTCAGCAGCCAGGGCTCATTTCCCAGCAGCTTGCTCGGCTGTTTTGCTGGCACCTTGTTGCCAGGTGTTAATTCCGTGCCCCACGGCGAAGGCTCTAGCCCTTGCGCTGTGTTGACCAGCCCCTGGGCAAGAGCCGTGGCACGGAGGGTGTGATACCTGCATGCAGCAACTCTGGGTGTTCACCTCACGCTCTCTCCTGCAGGATGAAACGCGCCAGCTCCCTGAATGTCCTGCATGCGGGCGAGAGGCCACCAGTGCCAGCAGCTTCCCCAGCGGTGAGAACTGGTCCCAAGGCCCCAGCAGCTGCGACCCTGGCAGTGGGGTTCCTGGCCCAGGACCCCTTAACTCTCTGCTCCCCTTTATTCTTTCTCCGCAGGTGCCCAGCAGGAACCTGAGCGCCAGCAGCCAGAACCTCTCCCCCAGCAGCTCTCTCTCCAGTGCGGGCTGAGGTACCGGCCCGACCAGGCCAGCTGGAGTCTCAGCTCTGCTTGCTCCTGGCCCCACCGCAGCCTGCCCGTTAACCCTCCAGGGAGCAGGGTGTACAGAGCAATGGGCACTGCTGGCTGCAGCCCAGCCAGCCCCCTCGTTGGACCTCAGTGGATGCAGTGAATGTGCCCCCCTCAACTAGGAGACACCAAGCCAATGCCTGCCCCCTGCTGGGCCGCTCTTTCTCAGGAAGCCATGGGGCTTGGCCTGGCCCTGCTCCAGCTGTCTTAACTGCCCCCAGATTGCAGGGGCCAGGGCTTGCTATTTATTCTATTTATAGGACATGGTAGGTGAGAGCAGAACAAGCACAACCTGAATAAAGGTGTTTGCTGACTGCTGGCTCTGGGTCTGTGTCAGGGCTCAACCCTGGGAGGAGGAAAAGCTCCCCTGGCCCCTCTGAGAAGCAGCAGGCTGGCACTGTTAACCCCCTCCCCCAGGCCAGAGGAATACCAGCCCCACCCCTGAGCAGCAGGAGATGCCCAGACTCATGATGCAGTGCAGGGACCCAGCTGCAATGCAGGCTGCCCTGGCTGGGTAGGGGACAGCATCCTCCTGTGTGGTCTCCTGGTTCCCAGGGGCTGGCGCAGGGTGATGGCACAGCACACGGGCTATGTCCTGTTCTTTATTGCTGTGTCCCAGACAGTCACCTTCAGTATAAAAGCCAGTATCAAACAAGGCCCTGGCCGCAGGGCCAGCACCTGTCTGCCGCTGGAGCCAGCCCTCTGCCAGCATGTTGGGTGAGCCAAGGTCCCCTACAGCTGCCGCTCTGGCTCACACCTGGTGCGCGATCTGCGTGATCTTGCGGAGCATCTCCTCCGACTGCAGCTGCTCCAGAGTGAGCAGGGACAGGCCCAGCTGGTCCTCCTGCCAAAACCACACAGCCCATGAGAGCAGGGCTGAGGCCTGCACCCTGGCCTGAGCTTACAGCCAGTTCCCCACTCCAGGGCTGGCAAGTGCTCAGGAGGGACCATCCCCGCCTCCCGCAGCCGCAGGACAGCGCTCACCTTGTGGAAGGGCTGGGCCATCTGGCGCAGAAAGTACTTGGCCACCTGCACGGCCTCGTCCACTGTGAGGTTGAGGTTGGCATCCGTGATGTGCTCCTGGATCCAGCGTGGCAGCTTCCCCCGCTTGTCTGCCCGGGCAAAACGCTACCAACCAAAAAGAGACCCAGACAACCCTGAGCTGTGGAGCCTCTGCCCACCAGAGCGGGCCATCTTTCCCTTCTGGGGGTGGTGGGGTGCGCGCCTGCATTTCACTGTGGGTTAGTAGGCTGGAGCCCCTGGGGGGTTGACTCATGGCCCAGGGCGAAGCCTGCTCAGCAGCCACTTCCTGCAGTGCCCACAGCCCTACCCGCTGCCTTGCCCCATCTGCCCACCCACCTTGTCTGCAAAGACCATGAGCCCGTAGTCTGTCTTGCCACGGATGGCCCGGCCCACGCACTGCGCTGCGTGCCGCATGGCATCGAATGTCAGGAAGTCGTTCTCCCGAATCTGGAACTGATCACGCAGGTACTCCAGCCGTGCCTGAGGGGACAAGAGCAGGGTTGTGGCACATGCCCTGCCCAGCTGCAGTGGACAGGACGCAGCCTTGGGACACAAGGCTCCTGCTATGAACCTCAAATTCCGGGGGCAGCAGGGCTGGGACCCCAGTGCCGCTCCAGCATTCACACCCACTCTCCACCCCAGCAGGGCCCTGTAGGCTGATCCCCATTGCATTCTCAGGAGCCTAGTCTCTTCACCCCTCCCCCACTAGGTACTGGGCCCCAGCCAAGCAGGGCTAAGTGTTGGGGCACATGGTGCCAGCTCACCTTGAGGATGCGGCTCTGGGTGTAGACATAGGGTACGCCGAACATGATCACAGCTCTCCCGTAGTGGTGCACTGCAGGGGCAGATCAGAGGTCAGGCTGCCCCCCTGCTGCACACCACCCCTGGCAGGGCCCCAGGCCGGTGCCACACAAGGGGCCTGTGGTCAAAAATCAAGCACAAGCTACTGCCAGCAAGAGAAAGGACAGGACCGAGGGCACCTCACCCCCTGTGCTCTGCCCTGGCACAGAGAGCGAGCCCTGCTGGGAGCAGGAAGAGCTGTGCTCAGGTCCTGAGAAGGTCCTGCACCCCCAAACAGCAGCAGGCCAGGCAGGGGAGCTGGGGCAGACCCACACTGTGACTCCCTGTTACTCCCCAGCAAGAAAACTCACCGAAGTCGATGCCTTCGGACACCTTTCCCCTGGCCACGGACAGCAGGATGGCTCCCCGCCCATTCTCGCAGGCCTGTGTGCAAACAGGGGTCACACCAATCTGGGACTGTCACTCCACTCCCACTGGCCTTCCCCTCCACCCCCGCCCCCACCCCCACAGCCAGTGCTGTACAGGGAAGGTCGGTGCTGGGTGTGCATTGGGGAGAGCTAGGGCTGAGTTCAGGAGTGGGCACAGCCAGTTTCAACGGAGGAGTCTCCCTCCATCCCTGCAGATCCGCACTGTCATAACCGGCCCGGCATAAGGAGTCAGCTCCCTAGCATCAAGCAGCTCCGCTCCATCCCAACCTGCAGCCTCATGGCTTTCGCTTAGCCTGCAGGGGCCAGCCTCTCCCTTCTCCAGCACCAGGACTAGGCACAGCCCCCCACGGTGCTGCCACAGTGCCCACCTCCTGGTACTTTTCCAGTGCCATGCTGGTCTCGGCCCCGTCCTGCGTCTCGATGAAGATGAGCTTGTTGCGCTGGATGTTCTCCAGGATGCCCTGGGGGGAATGCAGCCTAGGTCAGATATCAGGGCTCAGCTGCCCAGGGAGCCCCGGGCTCAGCTGGAACCCACAACAGGGCTGGGTGCAGGTTCCAATCCCGCTTATGGCTTTGTGGGGGAGAGCAGCACATTCCCCTTCGTTACTAGGCCGCTCCAGCGCTGGGCAGGGGCTGCAGCATCTGGACACGGGCAGCTCTGCTGTGTCACAGGGTGGAGAACAAACCAGACAGGAGCTGGCAGGCAGGCACTGCCGTGGGGCTGTGAAACCCAGCACTCCTCCCTCCCCAGGGGTCCCACACTGCCAGGAGCAGGAAGGGAGACCCCCCAGGGGAAGCCAGACCCTTCCCTTCCCTCTCAGAGGGGTGGAATTGAGTCCCATGGGGGACCTGACTGAGGGAGTGGGATGCAGCCTGGTGCCAGTGTGCCATGCCAGGAAGGGTGCAGTATGGAGCTGCCTCACCCAGGAGAACTGCGGCTGGAGATAAGCCAGGAGATAAACTGCTTTCCCAGAGACTCGCTGTGGCTCAGTGCCCGGCCAGGCAGCTACAGCTGTGAGCAGGCAGGGCTGGAGCTCAGGACGAATCCATCGGCTCCTGGCCCCTTGGCTCCTGCTCCGCCAGCAGGAGGTACTGCTGTGGGGAGCCAGCTAACACAGCCAGGGCCCTTCCCAGCCACTCCCTGCTGGTTCCCTTAAAGGGCCTTTTCCTACCAGCATTCCCTGAGGAATGCTGGCAGGGTCCCGGTGTTGCACTGTGATCTCCCCTCCCGGAATGGCAAGGGGCCAGTCTGGATCCCAGATGCCCCAGTGCCCATTAGGCACCAGAGTTCATGGCGTTAACAGAACTCAGCCTAGGAATCCCTCAGTGTGGTGCTTGCTCTGCCGGCCTGCCCATAGGCTCCGTGCCACCGGCTGCCTTGCCACACTGTTCCCACACCGGCTGGGCTTCTTTGTCAAGGCAGTGGCTTTGGCAGCAGCTGTGTGGGTGGGGCATGGGCAGGGCCAGCAGCGGGCACCCTCTCCGCGGAAAAGCCTGGGATTTCTGGCAGTGAAGTGGAGCAGGGAAATCCCTTGTGCCTCCCAGGCCACCCTTCCCCCCAGCCACTCCAGCAGCACTGGCCAGTCCCCAGGACCCTCTGCAACCAGCCCCCACTGGCCCCCCTGTACGCACCTGCTCGTACCACGAGGCCACGATGTTTTCCATGTACTGGTAGCTGGTGAAGAAGGCCACAATGCCATCAGGCACGATCGCAGACATCTCCAGCAGCAGGTTGCCATAGTTCCGGATCACAGCTGGGAACGGTCAGGGAGGGTCTCGTGGGTCCAGAGCCAGGTGGGCCGTGGTGGGGGGTGAACACCCACACAGTGGTGGGGCAGGGACTGAAGCCGAGATCTGGCCCCACATTGGCCCATGCCAGGGGCAGCTCCAGCCAGCACTCGGGGGGTACATGTTCAGCTCCCCAGTGGCAGGAGAAGGCCATGGGGGGGAAGGGCCACGGGCATGGCCAGGAAGGTCGCCAGCTCAGTCACACAATACAGCATGGGTCCCCCCCCAATTCTGGCACAGCACCTCCTGGCAGAACAAGGGGAGCCGGCTGCTGCTACACCCCCAGCAACGGCTCCCACAGCCCAAGCTGTCACTGGGGGACCCCAACTCTGTCCGCAGAGCCAAGACAGATGGGAGTGGGAGGAGCCCCTGGCAGGGCAGCCTATCACCACAGCTGGGAATAGGAGAGGTGGCTCCAGGATGAGCCCATGCCCCAGGGTGGCACCCACATCCTCCCCACCAGGCTAACGTCCTGTAGCATCCCTACCAATGTCCTCACGGGTCTCGAACTTGGAGCTAATGGCCACCTGGTCGTTTCCTCGCCCCACAATCTGAAAGGAAAACAGGATGCTGGTAAGTGGGCCCCGGTCCAGAGCCGAGCTGCGCCCAGCGGCTGCCCCCAGGGGGGCAGGGGCTCAGAGGTGCCCAGCAACTGCCCAGATGGGGGGAGCATGAGACTTTTGGCAGCCCCCCTCCTTCCCCCAGGCACAGCCCCGTGCAGCTACCCCCCACCTAGCCCAGCCGTCAACTCACCATAGGGCAGAGACAGGTCCTGGCCAGAGTCATGGTGAAGGTGGCCATGGTAACAGGATGGAAATCCAGGATCTTGGGGTATATGTCCAGCGGGGACAGCGTCTACATGGGGACATGGGGTGAAGCATGAGCTGGGGGGCCTCTGTTCACCAGACACCACCCATGGAACCTTCACCCCAAAGGCCTGGAAACGAGGTGGTGGCTGAGCAGAGATGCCAGCTACAGACAGCTCAAGTATCTCTGCTGTGCCAGGACAGGGCTCTGCTCTCAGGGCGACCCACAAGGAGTGCCAGGGTTTGGGGGGTCCCCACACACACGTAGGAGCCAAGCTGGACTCTCAGCACTGGGTCAGCAGCCCAGCCCACGGGCCCTTGGCAAGCCAGGGCAGCAGAGGGCTCCAGCTATGCGCCCCCAGAACCCCCACCTGTGCCCAGGCCGGGCCCGCTCTGCAGGGGACGGAGAAGCCGGATGGCCCGAGTCGCGGCACACACCAAGGATGCAGCCCTGAATGTACCAGACAGAGGAGGCAGAAGCACCCGCTGAGCAGGAAGGGCTGTTCCTAGCAGAGCAAGGGCCACTCACCGGCACCCCCCAGGGGCCACAGCTCCAGCCCAGCTTCTCCCAGGCCCAGGAGCCACGCCCCAGGCTGCCACTTACCCCCGAGGTGATGATGACCGACTGGAACCTCTCAAAGACCGGCTTGATGGCGATGGAGGCGTCCATGCAGCTGGAAGGACAGGATGAGTGTCTTCGGGTGCAGGCAGCAAACAGCAGCCCCCAGGCAAGCCTGCCCACCCCCCACCAGAGCCCATGGCTTTTCCACGCCAGTTCCCCCGCCCACTCACCTGAAATGCAGGATGGGGTTGGCGATGGTGGGGGTCCTGTCGTCGAAGGGCTCTATGATGATGGTGAAGCCTGCAGAGGAGTCAGAGCTCTGGAGTCAGCGAGCTGTTGGGATCTCCCTTTGTGCCTTGCCCCCACCACCACCGAGATGCAGCCCCCTCCGGGGAGGCAGGGAGCTGCTCCTTACCAGCACCACCCGCAGCAGCTTTAGCGGAACGACTCAACATCTCACCCTCCCTTGTGCCAGGATTGGGCACCCCCCCGCCCTCAATCCCCCGCTCCTTGCTGCTCCGCCGGGGTCTCCACACACACACACACACTGGCCAGTTGACTGCATGCACCCCCGTATTCACTCCCTGCACCCCACTGTAAGGAGTTTTGTACCGAACACGCCTTGTGAGGGTTCTGGAAACTACTAACTCGCTGGTCACGAACACAGGGAAACATAGCAACGTTGTGTGTAAAGCTATGAACAGAGGCTGAAATCGGGACCAAAGCATTTCCCAGACACACCTGGGCAATGGCTAAACCTGTTTCTCAAGGACAAAGGACAAGCTAATGCCTCTAGCCAGGTGTCATCCAAGTTGATGGGCCATCCCCTGCCCAGTGGCCATCTTTGGCAAGGCAGTGGGCAGTAGCAAACAGATCTGCATCTTAGCAAACAGTAGCAAGGAACCACTGTCACCACCACGCTCCTGGTGTCCGTCATCGCGCTGGGAATGACCTTTGCCTAGGGGTAACCCTCAGGAAAATGCTTTTCAAAAGGGGCCTGAACTATGAAAGGGAGGAGCAAAAGCACCCCAAGGTAGCACTCCCTGAACACCGCTCTCACTTCCCCTGAAGACAACAGAAGGAACTTGGGAAGCAGATCCTGGCCTGGGAATTTGGTCAGCAGTTACACTGGGAGCATGTGGTAAGGAATCCTACCTCGAGCGCAGGCTAGGCTGTTAACACTAGGAAGCGGTTTATCTGTAGTTCTCTTATAACCATTTCTAACTTCAATGCCCTGGACGTGCGCTCACTTAAAACCTGCCTCCGTGTAGCTAAATAAACATGCTTTGCTCTTTAATCCAAACAAATCCAGGGCTGGGAATAGGGTGGGGACCACCACGTGGGGCAGCAGACTGCTGTATATTGATCCCCTTAGAGCAGGGGTGGGCAAACTTTTTGGCCCGAGGGCCACATCTGGGTATGGAAATTGTATGGGGGGCCATGAATGCTCACGAAATTGGGGTTAGGATGCAAGAAGGGGTGAGGGCTCTGGCTGGGGGTGCGGGCTCTGGGGTGGGGCTAGGGATGAGGAGGTTTGGGGTGTAGGAGGGTGCTCCAGATTGGGACTGAGGGGTTTGGAGTGTGGGAAGGGGCTCCAGGCTGGGGCAAGAGATTGGGGCGCGGGAGGGAGTCAGGCTGCAGGCAGCGTTTGACTCAAGCAGCTCCCAGAAGCAGCGGCATGTCTCCCCTCCGGCTCCTACGCGAAGGCAGGGCCAGGCATCTCTGCACACTGACCTGCCTGCAGACGCCACCCATGCAGCTTCCAGTAGCCGCAGTTCCTGGCCAATGGGAGCTGCAGGGGTGGCACTTGGGGTGGGGGCATCATGCAGAGCCCCCAGCTGCTCCTACATGGAGGAGCAGTAGGGGGGACATGACGCTGCTTCTGGGAGCCGCGGAACGTGCACATGGAGCAGCCCCCAACCCTGCTCCCCGGCTGGAGTATGGGAGCGCGGCAAGCCCCAGACCCCGCTCCCCTGTGGGAGCTCGAGGGCCAGATTAAATCGGCTGGCAGGCCGGATATGGCCCGCGAGCCATAGTTTACTCACCCCTACCTTAGAGCGGCAACAGACCTAACACATCTGAACTGGCCAGGAGAGGGTTGGACTGTGCAGAACACACGTTTGGGGGGAACATCTGGGGCTGGGAGTGAGTTAGGGTCACCCTGCAATGGTAACCAAGGCTGGTGGAAGTCCGTGTGGCTGGTGTTTGCTGACAGCCTGCTGGAACGGACACTTGAGGTGCGACCGGCAGGCTGGCTGTGAGCGGCCCGGGCAGAAGTTACAGCAGCATAGCATCGGGGGGCAACCGAGTTTGCAGGGCAGGGGTGACCAAGCCCCTCTCTGGCTTGCACTGCCCCAGGAATGCCCTAGCCCCTGTGTAGCTGGAGACCCGCCCAGGGACCAGTGGGGGCAGCCTGGCTGCAGGCCAGCCCTCCGACGGCTCAGGGCAAGGAGCACCCAGCTCGGCTGCTCTGCCATCTGCCACAGCTCTCCCTGAAACAGCCCGCGGACCACAGCTGGGGGCAGGGTGGGCGTTTCCTTGTGGGCAGCTGAGAAGTATCTGGGCTCGAGCGCTGCACTGCCTGTGAGTGCTGCACACAGGAGCTGGGGTCCCTCTGCTCGGCTTCTCCCGTTAGCCATCCAGTCTCATTGAGCTTGCCTGCCGGGGGCACCACGGAGCACAAGCAACGCTTGACTGGCAGGCCACAGGATCATAGAATATCAGGGTTGGAAGGGACCTCAGGAGGTCATCTAGTCCAACCCCCTGCTCAAAGCAGGACCAATCCCCAACTAAATCATCCCAGCCAGGGCTTGGTCAAGACTGACCTTAAAAATATCTAAGGAAGGAGATTCCACCACCTCCCTAGGTAACGCATTCCAGTGTTTCACCACCCTCCTAGTGAAAAAGTTTTTCCTAATATCCAACCTAAATCTCCCCCACTGCAACTTGAGATCATTACTCCTTGTTCTGTCATCAGCTACCACTGAGAACAGTCTAGAGCCATCCTCTTTGGAACCCCCTTTCAGGTAGTTGAAAGCAGCTATCAAATCCCCCCTCATTCTTCTCTTCCACAGACTAAACAATCCCAGTTCCCTCAGCCTCTCCTCATAAGTCACGTGTTCCAGTCCCCTAATCATTTTTGTTGCCCTCCGCTGGACTCTTTCCAATTTTTCCACATCCTTCTTGTAGTGTGGGGCCCAAAACTAGACACAGTACTCCAGATGAGGCCTCACCAATGTCGAATAGAGGGGAACGATCACGTCCCTCGATCTGCTGGCAATGCCCCTACATATACATCCCAAAATGCCATTGGCCTTCTTGGCAACAAGGGCACACTGTTGACTCATATCCAGCTTCTCGTCCACTGTAACCCCTAGGTCCTTTTCTGCAGGACTGCTGCCGAGCCATTCGGTCCCTAGTCTGTAGCGGTGCATGGGATCCTTCCTTCCTAAGAGCAGTACTCTGCACTTGTCCTCGTTGAACCTCATCAGATTTCTTTTGGCCCAATCCTCTAATTTGTCTAGGGCTCTCTGTATCCTATCCCTACCCTCCAGCGTATCTATCTCTCCTCCCAGTTTAGTGTCATCTGCAAACTTGCTGAGGGTGCAATCCACACCATCCTCCAGATCATTTATGAAGATATTGAACAAAACCGGACCCAGGACCGACCCTTGGGGCACTCCGCTTGATACCGGCTGCCAACTAGACATGGAGCCATTGATCACTACCCGCTGGGCCCGACAATCTAGCCAACTTTCTATCCACCTTATAGTCCATTCATCCAGCCCATATTTCTTTAACTTGCTGGCAAGAATACTGTGGGAGACCATATCAAAAGCTTTGCTAAAGTCAAAGAACAACATGTCCACTGCTTTCCCCTCATCCTCAGAGCCAGTTATCTTGTCACAGAAGGCAATCAGATTAGTCAGGCATGACTTGCCCTTGAATCCATGCTGACTGTTCCTGATCACTTTCCTCTCCTCTAAATGCTTCAGAATTGATTCCTTGAGGACCTGCTCCATGATTTTTCCAGGGACTGAGGTGAGGCCGACTGGCCTGTAGTTCCCCAGATCCTCCTTCTTCCCTTTTTTAAAGATGGGCACTACATTAGCCTTTTTCCAGTCGTTCGGCACCTCCCCCGATCGCCATGAGTTTTCAAAGATAATGGCCAATAGCTCTGCAATCACGTCAGCCAACTCCCTCAGCACCCTTGGATGCATTAGATCTGGACCCATGGACTTCTGCATGTCCAGCTTTTCTAAATAGTCCTTAACCTGTTCTTTCACCACTCACAGCTGCTCACCTCCTCCCCATACTGTGTTGCCCAGCGCAGCAGTCTGGGAGCTGACCTTATCTGTGAAGACCGAGGAAAAAAACGCATTGAGTACTTCAGCTTTTTCCACATCATGTGTCACTAGGTTGCCTCCCCCATTCAGTTAGGGTCCCACACTTTCCCTGACCACCTTCTTGTTGCGAACATACCTGTAGAAACCCTTATTGTTACCCTTCACATCCCTTGCTAGCTGCAACTCCAATTGTGCTTTGGCCTTCCTGATTATACCCTTGCATGCTCAAGCAATATTTTTATACTCCTCCCTAGTCATCTATCCAAATTTCCACTTCTTGTAAGCTTCCTTTCTGAGTTTAAGCTCTCCGAAGAGTTCACTGTTAAGTCAAGCTGGTCACCTGCCATATTTGCTATTCTTTCTGCACATCGGGATGGTTTGTTCCTGCACCCTCAAGAAGGCTTCTTTAAAATACAGCCAGCTCTCCTGGACTTCTTTCTCCCTCATGTTATTCTCCCAGGGGATCCTGCCCATCAGTTCCCTGAGGAAGTCAAAGTCTGCTTTTCTGAAGTCCAGGGTCCGTATTCTGCTGCTCTCCTTTCTTCCTTTTGTCAGGATCCTGAACTCAACCATCTCATGGTCACTGCTGCCAAGGTTGTCACCCACTTCTACTTTCCCTACCAATTCTTCCCTGTTTGTAAGTAGCAGGTCAAGAGGAGCACGGCCCCTACTTGGTTCCTCCAGCACTTGCACCAGGAAGCTGTCCCCAACACTCTCCAAAAACTTCCTGGATTGTCTGTGCACTGCTGTATTGCTCTCCCAGCAGATATCAGGGTGATTGAAGTCTCCCATGAGAACCAGGGCCTGCGATCTAGTAACTTCTGTGAGTTGCTGGAAGAAAGCCTCATCCACACCTCATCCCCCTGGTCCGGTGGTCTATACCAGATTCCCACCACGACATCACCCTTGTTGCTCACACTTCTAAACTTAATCCAGAGACACTCAGATTTTTCTGCAGTTACATACTTGAGCTCGGAGCAGTATGACTGCTCCCTTACATACAATGCAACTCCCCCACCTTTTCTGCCCTGCCTGTCCTTCCTGAACAGTTTATATCCATCCATGACAATACTCCAGTCATGTGAGTTATCCCACCAAGTCTCTGTTATTCCAATCAATTAATAATTACTTGACTGTACCAGGACTTCCAGTTCTCCCTGCTTGTTCAGGCAGCTACCATCTCAGATTTGCAGTGGTGTCTGCAACCCCCGCTGAACTCACAGACCACCAAGCTCTTGGGAGCCCAGCCCTGGCATGACAGGCAAAGATACAAACAAGCAGGAAAGCCAAGTCCTGCTCGTCCCCTGCACTCGGGCCCCGCTCACCCCCTCCAGGCCCCATCTGTCCCCGCTCATCCCCTGCACTTGGGCCCCGCTCACCCTCTCGCTCCCGCCAACCCCCCTCCCGCCCCCGGCTCCACTAGCCCCCTCCTATCCTGCCAGCTGCTTCCCCGCTTGCCCCCTGCTATCCTGCCAGCTGCTTGCTCCCTCCTACCCTGCCAGCTGCTCGCCCCCAGCCCCCGCTTACCCCCTCCCACCTGCTCGCCCCAGACCCCGCTTGTAGGAACTGGCGGCTGTGATTGCAGAGCCATTGGCCATTATCTTTGAAAACTCGTGGCGAACCGGGGAAGTCCCGGATGACTGGAAAAAGGCTAATGTAGTGCCAATCTTTAAAAAAGGGAAGAAGGAGGATCCTGGGAACTACAGGCCAGTGAGCCTCACTTCAGTCCCTGGAAAAATCATGGAGCAGGTCCTCAAAGAATCAATCCTTAAGCACTTGCATGAGAGGAAAGTGATCAGGAACAGCCAGCATGGATTCACCAAGGGAAGGTCATGCCTGACTAATCTAATCGCCTTCTATGATGAGATTACTGGTTCTGTGGATGAAGGGAAAGCAGTGGATGTATTGTTTCTTGACTTTAGCAAAGCTTTTGACACGGTCTCCCACAGTATTCTTGTCAGCAAGTTAAGGAAGTATGGGCTGGATGAATGCACTACAAGGTGGGTAGAAAGCTGGCTAGATTGTCGGGCTCAACGGGTAGTGATCAATGGCTCCATGTCTAGTTGGCAGCCGGTATCAAGTGGTGTGCCCCAAGGGTCGGTCCTGGGGCCGGTTTTGTTCAATATCTTCATAAATGATCTGGAGGATGGTGTGGATTGCACTCTCAGCAAATTTGCGGATGATACTAAACTGGGAGGAGTGGTAGATACGCTGGAGGGGAGGGATAGGATACAGAGGGACCTAGACAAATTGGAGGATTGGGCCAAAAGAAATCTGATGAGGTTCAATAAGGATAAGTGCAGAGTCCTGCACTTAGGACGGAAGAACCCAATGCACAGCTACAGACTAGGGACCGAATGGCTAGGCAGCAGTTCTGCGGAAAAGGACCTAGGGGTGACAGTGGACGAGAAGCTGGATATGAGTCAGCAGTGTGCCCTTGTTGCCAAGAAGGCCAATGGCATTTTGGGATGTATAAGTAGGGGCATAGCGAGCAGATCGAGGGACGTGATCGTTCCCCTCTATTCGACATTGGTGAGGCCTCATCTGGAGTACTGTGTCCAGTTTTGGGCCCCACACTTCAAGAAGGATGTGGATAAATTGGAGAGAGTCCAGCGAAGGGCAACAAAAATGATTAGGGGTCTGGAACATATGAGTTATGAGGAGAGGCTGAGGGAGCTGGGATTGTTTAGTCTGCAGAAGAGAAGAATGAGGGGGGATTTGATAGCTGTTTTCAACTACCTGAAAGGGGGTTCCAAAGAGGATGGCTCTAGACTGTTCTCAATGGTATCAGATGACAGAACGAGGAGTAATGGTCTCAAGCTGCAGTGGGGGAGGTTTAGATTGGATATTAGGAAAAACTTTTTCACTATGAGGGTGGTGAAACACTGGAATGCGTTACCTAGGGAGGTGGTAGAATCTCCTTCCTTAGAGGTTTTTAAGGTCAGGCTTGACAAAGCCCTGGCTGGGATGATTTAACTGGGAATTGGTCCTGCTTTGAGCAGGGGGTTGGACTAGATGACCTTCTGGGGTCCCTTCCAACCCTTATATTCTATGATTCTATGATTCTATGATAAATCTCTGCATTAAGCATCTTCACATAACTTTCATATGACTTTGTATTATGCCTCTGTTTTTGTACAACTTTGCATCAGATCCTTATACAGAAAACTTTGTATTGAGCCTTGGTATAATGTTAAAAAAGTCTTTTTGCTAGGAGCAGAATAAGATCCCCCCTGCCCCCTTTTAATCAATTACCCTGTTGAATGAAGGAGGTGTGAATGAGTAAAGGCCTGGAAAGCAAGCACCTCCAGATAGCTGCAACAGCTGGGGAGGGGATGGAAGCCAGACCCAAGAACAATAAAACTTGTCAAGTGGGCTCACTAAAGAAGAGCAAAAAGAAGAGGAGTGCCTGTGGCTCCTTAGAGACTAACCGACAGTGTTGATTGATACATAGGTTACCAATAAATGTGATGCTTTGCCTTATTCCCCCTCAAAAGATCCTGTACAGTACTTTAAGTACAACACGCTCACCCCCTCCCCCCACCCCAAACCCCCCCCAGACCCTGCTCACCCCCTCCCACCCTACACACCCACTGCCCAGGCTCCATTCCCAGCACTAGGAGAGGAGCCGGTGCCCTCCAGGCCCAGCTGCTTTGTGCTGCAAGTGTCTGTCCCAGCCAGGCCCGCTGGGCAGCCACTTTGAAGGGAAGGCCCCAGTCCACGTGCTGGAAGGGGAGCAAGCTGCTTAGCACTAAGAGGATTGAAACTGTTGCATCCCCGCGGCTGAATGCTTGAGATTTACGTGGTATTTATATTCCACTGCCACGTCAGCACACTGGCCTGGAGAGACACCTCACCCCCCCACAGGCACGCCCCACCACGGGCCTGGACGCACACCAGCCCCAGGCCCCGCCCCTCACCTGGCATCCATGGGCCCAGACACATGGCTGGCCCCACTTCCCTCCCCTCCCCAGCATGCCCTGGTCCAGACAGATCTGCAGCCCCCTTGTGTTCCCCTTTCCTCAGAGGGCCCTGAGAACCACAGCTGCTTCCTCCAAGGCAGGAGGGGCCAAGGTGAGCCCTGGGGAGAGGGCCTGGCTCCTCGGCTGGGGGACACGCTGCTGTGGGGTGCGAGTCAGGAGCCACGCGCTGGGGGTTGGCACCAAACAGCCCCCTGCTGGCTCCTGAGGGGCGCCTGGTCAGGGGGCAAAGAGGCCAAGGCTTTCTCTTGCTATGCTTATGGTGCATGCCTGGGCCTGGCATGAGGAGCCCCACACTCTGCCAGGCCAAGCTGTGTCCCACTGCATCTCTCTCCACCTGCTCCCAGCTGAGCAACAGCCCCGTCTGCGGGAAAGAATGGCCTGGGCCCCGCAGAGCCAGGCACAGAAGGACCCCGCGGCCCATCAGGAATTCCTGGGCAGTCCGGCAGCCAACGCAGCCCAGTGCCCCCTGCCCATCTAGCACACACCCAAGGGACTCCGGCACACCAGTGGGGCACCCAGCCAGACTCGGAAGATTCACTGTGGCCTACTGTAGACACCAGCCGCTGCTGCCACCCCAACCCTGAGAGAGGAGCTCGGTCAAGGGCCATCATCCAAACCCAGCCATTAACACCGAGGATCAGACCTCTCAGTGGGGGCACCAGGCTGGTGCCAGTGCCCTCCTCTTCCTCCAGCAGCAGCCTGAAGGCTTCACACCCAGAGTGGGATGTGCTTGAGAGCCTCAACTCCCTGCAAGCCCCTCAGACTGCCCGGGAAACCAAGAGGGAGCCACCAGGCCAAGGCCACACCACGAGCAACACCAGAAGTCCTGGCTTCCAGTCGCGGGGCACCTTACCCTTGGCGTAGGTACTGACGAGCGTGGCGAAGTTGGCGATGAGGGTGATGGGAGAGAAGTCAGCAATGTCCACGATCTCCAGCGTGCGGAGCAGGGAGCGCAGCCGCTCCGCACAGAACCTACGGCAGGCATGAGAGGTCGAGGGGGTTACCACAGCGGGGCGGGAATGTGGGAGGTGAATGTTACCTCCTGGGCAGGAGATGCCCCTTTATCTGCCCTCCAGCCCCACACACTGCGGCTGCAGGGGGGTTGTTAATGCCACTCCCAGCCTGGTGCAGCTGCAGAGCCAGCCAGGGCTGAGCAGAGCACAGGGCATCCAGTGACCTTAGGCAGGCCACGTCAAGCACCTCCATGGCACCCCACATGGGCAGGCCAGAGGCAGCTCAGCCAAGAGGTGCTGAGATTCAACAAGCCAAACCCTGTACAGCAAGGGGGGCTGCGAGACCTACCTGCCCATATCGGAGGAGTGCCAGCACCTCCAGGGGGAAGGCATGGCACAGTGGCAGGTGGGCAATGCCCTAGTGGGGAGGGCAGACTGGGCCAGGGAGGGGTGCCGAGACCAGAGGGGCAGGCTGAGACAGGGAGGGGCGCAGAGCAGAAGGGCAGGCCAGGGAGGGCCAGGCCAGGCCGGGCAGGGGTGCAGAGCAGAGGGGCAGGCTAGGGAAGGATGGGCAAGGCTGAGCAGGGGCGCAGAGTTGGGGTGGGGGCAGGCCAGGGAAGGCCGGGCCAGGACGGGCGCAGAGCAGAGGGGCAGGCCAGGCCGAGGAGGGGCGCAGAGTTGGGGGCGCAGGCCAGGGAGGACCGGGCCAGGCCAGGCCGAGGAGGGGCGCAGAGTGCGGGGGCAGGCCAGGGAAGGCCGGGCCAGGATGGGCCGAGGAGGCGGGTAGAGCACAGGGGCAGGCCAGGGAAGGCCAGGCTGGGCAGGGGCGCAGAGCAGGGGGTCAGGCCAGGGAAGGCCGGGCCAGGATGGACCGAGGAGACAGGCAGAGCGGAGGGGCAGGCCAGGCCGAGGAGGGGCGCAGAGCGGAGGGGCAGGCCAGGCCGAGGAGGGGCCAGGACAGGCCAAGGAGGGGCGCAGAGCAGAGGGGCAGGCCAGGCCGGGCAGGGGCGCAGAGCAGAGGGGCAGGCTGGCTCCACTGGCCGGGCCCAGGCCAGCTGCTTACCGCAGTGGCTTGCGCTCGATGCACACCTTCTCGAAGACGTCCTTGAGGAAGGAGGGGGGGCTTTCCTGCACCATGTGATGGACCCGCAGCCGTGACTTCAGGTACTCCAGGAAGCGCTTCATGAAGCCCACAAAGTGCTCGGCTGTCCGGATGTTCCCGGGCACGGCCTCTGCAAGGGGTACAGGCTCACCCTGAGTCACAGCCTGCCCATGCCCATGCGCCACCCACAAGGGGGCATGACCAGGGTGAGCATGCCACTGCTGCAGCCCACCTATCCCCAGGTCCCTGCCCAAGGGGGGGGGCACAGGCCCAAGTCCATGCTGGGTATGCATGTCCACCATGCCCTTGACTGCAAGGCCTATGCCAGTAGCCAGGGATCAGGGCTGGGCTCAGGCTTCATGGTTCCAAGGAGATCAGAAGTACGGGCAGGGAGAGGGCTGAGAAATACCAGCTCATCTCACGTACAGCACCAGGGGGCCCCAGAGAAAGGTCTCTGAGTCAACACCAGCCCAGGCTGAGGTGGAACTGATGCCATGGGGGGGAAGGCCCTGTGTCCCAGTCCCCACCTGCCCCCAGTGTCCTCAAGGTCAGCCAGACCCCCTTCCCTGGGGCTGGACTGGAGCCAGCACCCCTTGGAGAGGAAAGGGCCTGCATCCATTCCCTGCCCACCCCCACCAGTGCCAGCCAGTCCCCTGGCCTGGGGCTGGATCGGATCCAGCTATACCGTAGCAGCAAAAGGCCCAGTATCCCATACCCCAGCCAGCCAGTTCTGTTTGTTCTAGCTGCACTGGGAGACGCTGGCCCCCAGCAATGCTACCCTCCCGCCACCAGCTAGCAGGGCCCACCTTGGAGAATCTGGTCAGGCAACACTGGATTGGCCAGGTAGATGTCCGTTTCCCGGGCAATGTTGGCCTCTCTCAGCCCCTCCACCAGCCGCCTGTATTCCTCCTTCAGTTTCTGGGCATCCGTCTCCTTAATCCTGAAAGGGGACCAGCGCCTGTGAGCCCAGGTGGGCACAGGGAGGGCAGGGAGGGGGCACGGGGAGGGCACTCACTTCTGGATGGTAGCCTGCAGCGTGGCCACGTTGGCCTGGCAGCGATCCAGCGTCCGGCGCGTGATATTCACCCCCATGGAGTCGATGCACACATTGTCTGCAGGAACAGGGCACCTGGTCTCCAGGGGAACCCAGCAGTTGGGGTGGGCAGGGGACCTTGGGGAGGGACTAAACCCCAGGTGGGAGGGGGGCAGAGACTTCGACTCCCCTGACAGGGACCAGGCTGGGCAGACACCCCACCGGCAGAGTGAAAGGATAGGTCAGTTCTGCCAGTGGGGACAGTAACAAACAGGGATCGGGGGCAGGGGCTAGCCTTTACACACAGGCCCCCCCAGACCAGAGCCGGCAGTAGTTGAAGACAACAGCCATGACATGCTGGGACCCAGGGACACCTCAACACGGGGCCTGGGGCAGTCCCCCTGGCTTGGGCAAGAGCAGCGTCCTGTCCCGAGTGACAGCTGCAGGGCAGGAGCAAAAAGCCACAACAGGACACGGGGTCAGGAGGAACTTGGCAGAGGAGGTAGGGATGCCCTGAACCAGGGAACATTCAGATGCCAGAGAGCGGACCCTGGGGCACTGGATCCAACCAGACCAACACAGGCACCGGGCTGCACGGCCCCGAGCAGGGAGTGGGCAGCCGGAAGCGATTGGGCACCTCGTCAGCACAGAGGGGTTGACGAAGTGGAGGGAGATGGGAAGGGATCTGAGCCCTCCCACTCCCCTGGGAGCCCAAGGGGCATGACGGGGAATGGGAGCAATACCACGCCCGGCCATCTGGAGACACATCCATACCCAGATCAGGCGGGGAGTCGTTCCCCAGGGGGCTGGTGCAAGGATTGCCCGCCCAGCACATTCATAACCAGCCGGGACAGCATGTCATAGAATCATAGAATATCAGGGTTGGAAGAGACCCCTGAAGGTCATCTAGTCCAACCCCCTGCTCAAAGCAGGACCAATTCCCAGTTAAATCATCCCAGCCAGGGCTTTGTCAAGCCTGACCTTAAAAACCTCTAAGGAAGGAGATTCTACCACCTCCCTAGGTAACGCATTCTAGTGTTTCACCACCCTCTTAGTGAAAAAGTTTTTCCTAATATCCAATCTAAACCTCCCCCACTGCAACTTGAGACCATTACTCCTCGTTCTGTCATCTGCTACCATTGAGAACAGTCTAGAGCCATCCTCTTTGGAACCCCCTTTCAGGTAGTTGAAAGCAGCTATCAAATCCCCCCTCATTCTTCTCTTCTGCAGACTAAACAATCCCAGCTCCCTCAGCCTCTCCTCATAACTCATGTGTTCCAGACCCCTAATCATTTTTGTTGCCCTTCGCTGGACTCTCTCCAATTTATCCACATTTATCCATGTCAGCCAGCCGGGCATGGAGCAGGCCCGCAGTGTCAGCGAAAGGGGCTCAGCCGCCCCCACCATGGGCCCTAAGTACTGAATGGCAGGCAGGGACCAGGCACACATGGCAGAAAGCCCCGCCCCCCTGCCCCTGTCCGCCCCCTTGCGTAGGCTCAGCCATCCCATTACCAATGTTATGAGCTTCGTCAAATACGACGACGGATTTCTTGGCCAGCTCCTTGGACACCAGGTCTGCGATCTTGGGGTCCAGGAGGTAGTGGTAACTGTACACGACAATGTTGGCATGGAGGATCTGACCAAAGGAAGGAAAGGGTTACTGCCCAGCGCACACACACACACATACCCCCACCCCGCTGGGGGCCCAGAGACAGGCAGCCCCAGGCTGGCATACCACCTCCCTGGCAAGCCCTAGAGAGCCACAGGCCAGCAGCCCCCGGGCGAGAGGGAGGCTCCGTGCCCGGTAGCAGGGTTGTGCACAGCAGCAGTCAGGACGGGCTGCACCAGGAGCAGCTGGGCTCTGGCCTCAGCCCAGCGGGCAGCCGCACAGCACTCGACGGCCCTGCCGCCAAGGCAGGCAGTTCTGGGTGGGATGGGCTGAGGCTGCTCTAGCTGCCTAGGCCAGCGAGTTAATGGAATGCCCGGAGCCCCCGGGGGGGAAGCTCACAGAGGAGTCTGTTGCCACAACTACCTGCTTTGCTCTGGGGGCTCACTCAGCCCAGGCCTGGCCCCACTCAGCTCCGCAACCTGCTGTGACTCCTCGGGAACACATGGCCCTGGGGGACCAGCACCTGCCTCAGCTTCAGCCTCTGCCCAACCCAAGTGCCCATGAGCAGCCTCCCTGGGCCAAGCCTCCTACAGTCTGCCAGGGGCCTGATTTGAATCTCACTCGCCCTGGGGCAGACCCACTCAATGGATCAGTGCCAGCGCTGGAACAGAACTGGGCCCAGTGCGGGAGTACCCAGCTTGGGTCACAGCCAGTGGGGCAGAGGAGGCCAGAGCCACTGGGGCTGGAGGACAGGCAGGCATTGTGCCCAGCAGGGGGGGAGTCACCCACCCCAGGAGCACATCACCCAGCATCACAGCTCCTTCCCCTCGACAGGCAGTGCTGGACTGGGCTCCCAGGTGGGCCACCCCGTACCCTGCTGCCCTGCTGACTGCCAGAGGAGAAGGGTTTCAGTGAACCCCGCTCCCCACCCCCACATTGGGCCCAGCAGGGCACGATGGCCCGCCACGTACCGAGTAGCGGGCGAGGAAGTAGGGGCACCAGCCCTTCTGCCGACAGTACCCTTTGAGGTCATCCAGGTTGTAGACACCAAAGGGGATGGGCACCTGCCGCCCATGGGCATCGAACTCCTGTGGGGGGGGGGAAACAGCACGCTGACATCAGGGCCTAGCGCCACCCAGGCTCACGTCCCTCCCTCTGCTGCTCCGGGCCTTGGGCCAGCCCATCTCCAGCTGCTCCAGCTCAACTCCTCAGCCCCTTCACACTATCGTCCCTGCTGCCCAGTTCCCTGCCCATTAACCCTTCCAAGTGGGCCGCAGGGATGCCTCCCATCAGTGTTAATGGCAAGAGCCGGCAGCCAGGGCAGCAGAGTGGGTCTCCTCTTTGCCAGTGTCCTAGGCTGGCCGATGGGGCCAGGAGCTTCCCCCGGGGAGGGCAGACCTCTTGGTGCCACCTGGCAGAGGGCATACGGGGTGCAGAGGGGTTTACAGGCATCCCCTGGGTCTGATGTCTACATCATTCTGTGCCAATGGGTGGCATGTGCGGCCTCTAGTGAGAGCCCGTTGCCGGCTGGCCACAGGAGAGCGTCTGAGGGGGAGGCTGTCCATGTCGTCTTAGGACCTGTGAGTTACGACCAGAAGGTGATGCACAGGTTCAGCATCAGGCAGGGGACACTGGCCATGTCTCTCCTGGGTATCGTGTGTCTTACGGTGAGAGTTCACTGGCATAACCCAAACTGCAAAGTCGCCACGACACCACACAAGCTCCGGTGGCGCCCTGCTTATGCCTAAGATCAAAGACCAAGGCCGGTATGCCTGGGGAACACAGAGACACACCTGGGATCCCGCCCCCCAGGGCCCAGCTGCCAATGGTTTGTCTTATGAATGCAGGGTCACAGCCAGCCTGGCTTGGAAAAAGCCCAGGCACAAGACCCCCTCAGACAGGTGAGCAGCTGGTGAGTTACGTCTGGGATCTCTAAGACGAGTTAGGATTTTGTTTGACTCGTAACCATTTGTTTCCAAGACTTCTCTCTTGAACCTCTGCTCTTTGTCATATGAGCTTCGCCTGGTTCTCGGTACAAACGAATGGAAGGGCTGCAAGCTGGGCTGGGACCAGGGAGCCAGGCTGGGCGCTCTGAGCCAGCGGATCTGTGAATGCTGCTTGCGGGTGCTGGGAGGCTGGAGCGTCACTATTGCTAACCCGCAGGGGGACAGCGGAGCTGAGCCCGGCAGGCACAGACAAGGCTCCCGTGTGCTCCGGCACATGGCAGCAAAGTGCCTCACAGCCCAGGGTACCCCCGGGGAAACATCCCAGTAGCCCTTCGGTTCTAGTGACAGTGCTCAGCTGGCATGTCAAACCCCTGTCAAACCCCTGCCACATGTCAAACCCCCGCCACACCACCTCCCAGGAGGGGAAGCCCCATGGGCCGGGAGGGGCTGACCCTCGCCCAGGAGCCCTGCTACCTCAAAGAAGCGGCACGAGGGGATGGCGCTGTCCCACTGCTGCTGCGCCCGCACGTACGACGCCGTCAGGCTCAGACACTTGCCGTCCACCTCCTTCCCGAACCGCAGTGAGCTCACCTACAACGAGCAGCCGTCAGGCCAGACAAAGAGCCAAGGGCGCCTGGCCATGGGGCCCTCAGTTCTGGAGAGCACCATGTGTAACGCACCGGGGGGGGGGGGTAAGGGGGGAGGGAGGACTGTCTCCCCTCCCCCGCCTGATCTGCCAATGCCCCTCACTCCCGACCTGCAGCCCCCCTGTTAGCCCAGCCCTGGGCTCCACCCCCACAGCTCTGTCTGTGCCCCTCACTCCCGACTCGCAGCCCCGTTAGCCCAGCTCGGGGCTCCCCCCCAGCTCTGCCAGTGCCCCTCACTCCCGACTCGCAGGCCCGTTAGCCAGTCCGTGCAGTGAGCACTGGCACATTCCGAGACCCAACCGCACATGCTCATATAAAGGGGCAGCTGCTGGGGCACACAGGCAGTGGAGTCACTTGCCTCTTGGGCCAGGACATGCACAGGAAGGGGCAGGGCAGGTGGTATCTGGCTCCAGAGGAGGGGAGGGCAGGGGGCAGCAGTTCCACAGTCACTCTATGGAGCAGCCTCGGCCTCTGCCCAGGGCAGGTCTCTGAACGGGACAGCCTGGCCGTGGGCCGGCAGGCATGGAGGACAGACCAGCCCCGGGCTCCTCCCCCGGCCTGCCGGGCAGCTGAGCCCTGGCTGTGCCCCAGAACCAGGGTCCCAAGGTTGGGGAGCCCAGAACCGACTCACCTCGGGGTGGATGCAGAGGTTCTTCCTGGAGCTCAGAGCCAGGCCAAGGAAAGGGAGCTTCTCCCCTGTCCGCTTCTCATAGAAATCCAGGAGCTTCCGTAGTTCCTCAATGACCTGCAGGAGCAGGGACACTGATGAGCCCACCATGATTCCCCACACCCTCCCACACACCCTTCTCCCCGCAGGGCAGTGAGGGGTCCTGCTGTGATCCCCCATTCCCTCCCTCTCCTCCATCCAGGGCAATAAGGGGCTCTGTCAGCATCCCCCACATACTCTCCCTCCCCCCGACTCCTCCTCCCACCAGGGCAGTGAGGGGGGGCCCCCACAACCTCCCCACTCTCCACCACAGGGCAGCAAGGCCGCCCATGATTCCCCCACCCCCCCAACACAAGGCACCACCGCATACAGGTCCTGCCCCCCACACCCTGGTCACCTTCTCGATCTCAGGCACGGTTCTGGAGCAGTAGATCAGCTTGGTCACCTCCAGCGGATGGGCCTAGGGAGACAGGCCAGACACCTCCATTACTGGGCGGGATGGGGGCTTGGCTATCCCCAGAGGCCACCGATGACGAGCCTGGAGCAGCCAGGACATCAAACTCCCCAGGCTGCTTTCCCCTCCCCACCACCATCACAGCTACAGCCCCAGGGATGGGGGGACCGTGTGATCACCCCCACCTGGCTATGGGACCTGAGGGGCATAGAAGAGGCCCTGACCCCAAGCCCCAGGGCTCTGCCAGTGGAACAAGCAGAGGCAGCTCCAGCCCCTGCCCAGACCCACCCACGAGATCTGCGGGATAGAGCCAGGGCTGGGCCAGTGCCTGCCACCCAGCCACGCTGGCCTTTGGGAAAAGTGCCTCTCCCAGTGGGCCACCTAGACACGCACCTGGCAGTCCCCGCCCCCAGCTCTTGCCTGGCACTCACCCGCTGGTAGGCCACAATGAGAGACAGGAGGGAAACAGTCTTCCCAGTCCCCGAGGGCATTTCCAGCACGCCATGGCCCTGGGAGAGAGGAACAGCCATCACACAGGGAGTCCCAAGGAGGTGGGCAGGGAGCTAGCAGGGAAGGCTGAGCCAGGACCTATGGAGTCCCAATCCCTGCTTCTGCAGGGACCCAGAAGGGCCAGAGAAGAGAGGGGAGACAGCAAGAGTCCTGCAAGGAAAGGACCTGGGAGCTGGAGTCACCAAGCTTGGGACAGAGGCGGGTCCGGGAGGAGCGGAGGCTGCAGAAGGACCCCACTGAGACTGGCTGGACTGGGCCACACTGGTCCCTCCCAGCAGAGTGGCCTGGGCAGCGCAGGGGCAGTGTCACACTGGGGGCGAGAGGGGGGGGATACAGGGATAGGATGACACGTCACAGCCAACAACCCCTGCACCCACAACCAGATCTCAGGCTCCAGGGGCAGCAAACACCGCCCATTCCAACCCCACAGTTGCCCAGCCAGGAGACCTCTGGGGCACCTCTTCATCTTCTGGAGCAGAGTGCCGACCACAGCGGGGAGATGGCTGTACCAGCCCGCCAATCTGGTCTGGTGGCATGCAACCCCCAGAGCATATCACTGCTCCCAGCAGACAGAGATTCACCCTGCTAATTTCTGAGGGGGCACCACATGTGCCTTCTAGCCCAGGGTGCCCAAGCTGGGTGACAGGCTGCATGCCAGGAGCTCCACTTGGGCAGGGCTCAGGGGCTCCGAAGGGAACATGGGTGAATACAAGCACTGGTATTTAGCCATACACAGTGAGATGTGTAACACCCCCACCCCCAGTGCTCCCCACCACCACACAGACCCCCACCCCCAGGAGAGACCTTGGCATCCAGCGTTCTCTTGAGCTCCAGCATATATGAGTACTGCTCCGGGTAAATGTAGTCATAGGGGAAATACACCAGCAGCCCATCGATGTTCAGCCTGACAATGAGACCAAGTCATGGGTTCAGAGAGCCCAGCTGAACCGTCGCGATGAGGGGCACTTTCTGGCACAGTGGGGCAGAGGAGGCTGGCCCAGAAATGAGCAAACAAATTCAGCACCTGATTCAGGGCCGTGCTCAGTTGGAGTTACTGTATGTCCGGGTTTCCCCAGACAGAGCCTCCTTTTTAAGCCTCCTTTCTCTGCCCGGGGAGGATTTTTAAAACAACAGGAAATGTCCAGGGGTTTTGCAGAGCAGACAAGGTGCAGCTCAGAAAGAGCCCTGATTGGTCCGCTTGCTGATTGGTCCATTCCCCTGCAAGTCACAGCTGCCAGATCCCACCAACCCAGGCTCCAGCCCCGGTGAGGGGGTAGGGTGACCAGATGTCACGATTTTACAGGGACAATCCCGATTTGGGGGTCTTTTTCTTATATAAGCTCCTATTACCCCTAGCCCCAATTTTTCACATTTGCTGTCTGGTCACCCTAGGAGGGGGCCTGCAGGGAGGCATTGACCATGCACCAACCGTCCTGCCACGATGACAGGCAGTCACTGCCCCCCACCTCCAGTGAGTACCCCCATCGCAGTACCACCTCCAGTACCCCCAAACGTCCTCTTTTGGGAACCAGAAATATGGTAATCTAAGCTCGGTGGCGTCACATCTTCAGCTCTTGGATCAGAAAATTCCAGCTCAGCCTCCCGCGCTTTGCCTGCTGTGCCACAGGCAGGCTGCGCCAGGGCAGGAGGCCAGGCACTGCTGGGGGCTTCTTACCCGCCCCCACCACGCCCTTCCACCCCACTGTCCCGGCCCCTCCACCCCCACGCTCCCCTCTCCGCTGTTCCCGCCTCCTCCACCACCCACAACACCCCCTCCGCTCTGCCCCCCATCCCTCCCCACCCCACGGCTCCCCTCCCCGCTTTCCCCGCCTCCTTCCACCCCCATAACACCCCCACCACCCCACCCCCCATCCCTCCCCACCCCACGGCTCCCCTCCCCACTGTCCCCGCCTCCTCCACCCCCCACAACACCCCCACCGCCCCGCCCCCCACCCCACAGCTCCCCTCCCCGCTGTCCCCACCTCCTCCACCCCCCACAACACCCCCACCACCCCGCCCCCCATCCCTCCCCACCCCACGGCTCCCCTCCCCACTGTCCCCGCCTCCTCCACCCCCCACAACACCCCCACCGCCCCGCCCCCCATCCCCCCCCACCCCACGGCTCCCCTCCCCACTGTCCCCGCCTCCTCCACCCCCCACAACACCCCCACCGCCCCCCCCCCCACCCCACAGCTCCCCTCCCCGCTGTCCCCACCTCCTCCACCCCCCACAACACCCCCACCACCCCGCCCCCCATCCCTCCCCCACCCCACCGCTCCCCTCCTCAGTGTCCCCGCCTCCTCCATCCCCCCCCACCTCACGGCTCCCCTCCCCACTGTCCCCGCCTCCTCCACCCCCCACAACACCCCCACCCCCCCTCCCCATCCCTCCCCACCCCACCCCACCCCACCTCCCCTCCTCAGTTCCCCGCCTCCTCCATCCCCCCCCACCCCCCCCCCCCCCCCACTGTCCCCGCCTCCTCCACCCCCCACAACACCGCCCCGCCCCCCATCGCTCCCCTCCCCAGTGTCCCCGCCTCCTCCATCCCCCCCACCTCACGGCTTCCCTCCCGGCTCCTCCACCCCACGACTCCCCTCACTCACTTCATGGTTCCGAGCCCCGCCCCTCCCACGCCTCATGCCGGCCCTGCCCCGCCCTCTGACGGTTCCCACCTCGGTCCGACTCCCGCCCTCTCCGCCTACTGGCTGGAGAGCCGACCAGTTGGGAAGAGTCCGACGTCCATTGGGTGAAGACACTGCCAGTCAAGTCTGAGAGGCGCGGCCGGGCCGCTTGAGCGGCAGGGTGGGCTGAGAGCCCGAAGCGCGCGGTGGGTTCGGCTGCGCCGGGCAGGCATGCGCAGCGCAGGGGATCTCTATGGATGGGCAGGCCTGAGCAATCGAGCCAAGAGGTGCAGGACCAACCCTGCCTGGGGCATCTGGGGTTAGGGTGGATGGGGGTAAGGGAGGGCTTGGGGGAGGGTGACCCGTATGGCGAGAGCAGTGCTGCGAGCTCTCAGGGTTTTATGGCCAGTCCTGCAATTTTTGTTGCCCCAGCTCTGGAGTCATGGATTTTGGGGGGAGCCACCGTTCATTTCACAGGTTCTAGATACAAACATTTCATAGAGTATAGAATATCAGGGTTGGAAGGGAGCTCAGGAGGTCATCTAGTCCAACCCCCTGCTCAAAGCAGGACCAATCCCCAACTAAATCATCCCAGCCAGGGCTTTGTCAAGCAGGGCCTTAAAAACCTCTAAGGATGGAGATTCCACCACCTCCCTAGGTAACACATTCCAGTGCTTCACCACCCTCCTAGTGAAATAGTGTTGCCTAATATCCAACCTAAACTTCCCCCACTGCAACTTGAGACCATTGCTCCTTGTTCTGTCATCTGCCACCACTGAGAACAGACGAGCTCCATCCTCTTTGGAACCCACCTTCAGGTAGTTGAAGGCTGCTATCAAATCCCCCCTCACTCTTCTCTTCTGCAGACTAAATAACCCCAGTTCCCTCAGCCTCTCCTCGTAAGTCATGTGCCCCAGCCCCCTAATCGTTTTTGTTGCCGTCTGCTGGACTATCTCCAATTTGTCCACATCCCTTCTGTAGTGGGGGGACCAAAACTGGACGCAATACTCCAGGTGTGGCCTCACCAGTGCCAAATAGAGGGGAATACTCACTTCCCTCGATCTGCTGGCAACGCTCCTATAGCCCAATATGCTGTTGGCCTTCTTGGCAACGAGGGCACACTGCTGACTCATGTCCAGCTTCTCGATCCACTGTAATACCCAGGTCCTTTTCTGCAGAACTGCTGCTTAGCCAGTCGGTCCCCAGCCTCTAGCAGCGCCTGGGATTCTTCTGTCCTAAGTGCAGGACTCTGTACTTGTCCTTGTTGAATCTCATCAGATTTCTTCTGGCCCAATCCTCCAATTTGTCTGGGTCACTCTGGACCTTATCCCTACCCTCCAGCATATCTACCTCTCCCCCCAGCTTAGTGTCAGCTGAGAATTTACTGAGGGTGCAATTAATCCCATCATCCAGATCATTAATAAAGATGGTGAACAAAACTGTCCCCAGGACCGATCTCTGGGGCACTCTGCTTGATACCAGCTGCCAACTAGACATGGAGCCATTGATCACTACCCATGGAGCCCGATGATCTAGACAGCTTTCTATCCACCTTATAGTCCATTCATCTGGCCCATATTTCTTTAACTTGCTGGCAAGAAAACTGTGGGAGACCGTATAAAAGCTTTGCTAAAGTCAAGATATATCACATCCACTGCTTTCCCCATATCCACAGAGCCAGTTATCTCATTATAGAAGGCAATCAGGTTGGTCAGGCATGACTTGCCCTTTGTGAATCCATGTTGACTGTTCCTGATCACCTTCCTCTCCTCCAAGTGCTTCAAAATGGATTCCTTGAGGACCTGCTCCATGATTTTTCCGGGGACTGAGGTGAGGCTGACTGGCCTGTAGTTCCCCAGATCCTCCTTCTTCCCTTTTTTAAAGATGGGCACTACGTTAGCCTTTTTCCAGTCGTCCGGCACCTCCCCCGATCGCCATGAGTTTTAAAAGATAATGGCCAATGGCTCTGCAATCACATCAGCCAACTCCCTCAGCACCCTTGGATGCATTAGATCTGGACCCATGGACTTCTGCATGTCCAGCTTTTCTAAATAGTCCTTAACCTATTCTTTCACCACTCACAGCTGCTCACCTCCTCCCCATACTGTGTTGCCCAGCGCAGCAGTCTGGGAGCTGACCTTATCTGTGAAGACCGAGGAAAAAAACGCATTGAGTACTTCAGCTTTTTCCACATCATGTGTCACTAGGTTGCCTCCCCATTCAGTAAGGGTCCCACACTTTCCCTGACCACCTTCTTGTTGCGAACATACCTGTAGAAACCCTTATTGTTACCCTTTACATCCCTTGCTAGCTGCAACTCCAATTGTGCTTTGGCCTTCCTCATTACACCCCTGCATGCTCAAGCAATATTTTTATACTCCTCCCTAGTCATCAGTCCAAGTTTCCACTTCTTGTAAGCTTCCTTTCTGAGTTTAAGCTCACCGAAGAGTTCACTGTTAAGTCAAGCTGGTCACCTGCCATATTTGCTATTCTTTCTGCACATCGGGATGGTTTGTTCCTGCAACCTCAAGAAGGCTTCTTTAAAATACAGCCAGCTCTCCTGGACTTCTTTCTCCCTCATGTTATTCTTCCAGGGGATCCTGCCCATCAGTTCCCTGAGGAAGTCAAAGTCTGCTTTTCTGAAGTCCAGGGTCCGTATTTTGCTACTCTCCTTTCTTCCTTCTGTCAGGATCCTGAACTCAACCATCTCATGGTCACTGCTGCCAAGGTTGTCACCCACTTCTACTTTCCCTACCAATTCTTCCCTGTTTGTAAGTAGCAGGTCAGGAGGAGCACGGCCCCTAGTTGGTTCCTCCAGCACTTGCACCAGGAAGTTGTCTCCAACACTCTCCAAAAACTTCCTGGATTGTCTGTGCACTGCTGTATTGCTCTCCCAGCAGATGTCAGGGTGACTGAAGTCTCCCATTAGAACCCGGGCCTGTGATCTGGAAACTTCAGTTAATTGTCCGAAGAAAGCCTTGTCTACCTCATCCTCCTGGTTCGGTGGTCTATAGCACATGCCCACCACGACATCACCCTTGTTGCTCTTGCCTCTAAACTTAACCCAAAGACTCTCAACAGGCTTTTGTCCAGTTTCAAGCGGAGCTCTGAGCAATCATACCGCTCCCTTACATACAGTGCAACTCCTCCACCTTTCCTCCCCTGCCTGTCCTTCCTGAACAGTTTATACCCACCCATGACAGTGCTCCAGTCACGTGAACTGCCCCCCAAAGTTTCTGTTATTCCAATGACATCATAGTTCCTGCCAATCTGCAAACAGGACCCAGGCTTGATCTAAACACTAACGTGTTTCAGCGTGTCTGAAACAAGCGAACACGCATTTGACCCAATGGATGCACGCAGCGGGAATGTGTCTGGCAGTATGTTGCGTACGGCAGTGGTTCTCAATCAGGGCCCCCTAGCAGGCCGTGAGCAGGTTTCAGGGGGGTCTGCCGAGCAGGGCCAGCGTTAGACTCACTGGGGCCCGGGGCCTTGAGCCCCTGCCATCCGGGGCTGAAGACAAAGCCTGAGCAACTTCACTTGGTGTGGGGCCCTGGGCAATTGCCCCGCTTGTACCCCCGAATGGCAGTCCTGGCTTTTCTATGCAGAAAACCAGTTGGTGCGGAACAGCTGGGCCGTGGAGATTTTATAGCGTGCTGCGGGGCCTCAGAGAGGGAAAGGCTGAGAACTCCTGGCGTACGATCCCTCCTGAGCACGAGGCCTGTTCTGACGGTGCCGGTCACTACGCGCTGCAGCTCCAGGGGTGGGGCTGCGAGTGTATCAGGGCGCGTGCAGCTGGGCTCATCCCTGGGGCTTGCACCATTCAGCCTGCCCCCCACCCCAGACGTCTTTTAAACTGGGGGCTTGAAACTGAGGTGATTTTCATCCAGAGGCTGGGGCAGCATCCGAGCGGGAAGCTGGCCATGGCCCGTGGGCATCCTTGATGGCACAGCCCACCCTGGGAACCCCATCCGCTGCAGCAGGACAGGGGCTGGCCCCGCACAGAGCCTTGCGGCTTCAGAACTTGTTTGCTTTTCCAGACTATTCTAGCTGCTCGTGATCTGGCCACTCGTGTGAGAGCC